ACCGGCGACGGCAGATTTCAAGGAGTCCAAAATTAGGCTAAATTAGTAAATACTTTAATGAATAGAAAGCCTGTTTAAATTAAAGTACTAACTTTGAGAGCACGGAAAATAATATTTGTCTGTCGACTGGATGATGGTATCAAGAAACAAACTAACAAACTGACCAAACGACTATTTCTTTAGAGCAACAATCAATCATTTCTGTCATTTTCATGAAGTAAAATTTTAACATAAGGTCACACGGATATGTAAAAAGATGTGTACAGCCAGAAATTGGGCCTCACTTATTTGAATACGTCATGACACGTTAATGATTCAGTGTTATTTTGTCATTATATCATGTTAACTGCTAAAACATGTGACTTCTACAAATTCGTCAGCTCCAGAAAGAACACTGATGCCCGTGATGAATTCCGGCTGTGCCTAACTTGAAAATTCTCATAAACTGGTCCGCCCACCACCATTACTTCCGGCCATAGTGCATAAAATGCGATATTTCAGATTCTCTCTTCAGAAGGATTGGCGGAAGTACGCGAGATGCGTTGCGACATTGTCATCCCGGTGTTTCTATCGGTGTTTATTGCTCAGTGCAAAGCCGATTGCCGCGAATCACTGGGCGAATGGCATTCTTGTCTACAGCACTCACTGAAGAACCTAACAGGCGAGGGCCACCATCCGCATGAGAAACAGTTCAAGAGTTGTTTCTCTGAGTAAGTGAAAATTTGCATTCAATAATTCTAATGAAATGATGGAGCACGTCCGAGCGACTGAACATTAGGGATTCTTTTTGTTCTTGCCTCGCTTGCTGTCTAAGACAAATATCGAGTCTCGAAAATGAATCGAAGCTTCCTCTTTGGCACTTGAGATGAGGTAGTACTGTACACCGTTTATGCCAATTTTTGAGTAACCGGTTTCCACAACACAATCCTGAACATCACATTAGATATGCAAACAGTTATTCAATTCAAGTCGCTTAGCGAGTCTTATAAACTAACACAGGAATGCTAGATAAATTTCAAAGTGCAAAGTCACATCGGCCATGCAGTGTCACTGTTAAACAACACTATCCCAGGTCGATGATGGATGACTAAGTGTAACTGTAAACATTTAAATGATAAGCTGCACATGTCGGCTATTTTTCGTTGTGTCTCTGAATCTTTCATACATCTCTGCATAAACGGTAGCACCCCCTGTCTGAGCGCTCTGTACGGTAGCCATTGATGTGAATCGGCTACTCCTCTTTGCGGACTGATTCGGACAGGCACTTCAGAAATTCTTTATTACGCAAATGCTGAGTCATGTGAACAGGACTCATCCCAGTGGTGTGCAATATTTGACTAATGTATTGGCAGTGTAGCTCATGACTAATAGCGTGTTAAGGATTAAAACCATTTCGCCCAGCCTCCGAGTTCTAATGATAACCAAAGACCAAATTTCTCTTCATTCGTTGCATGTGAAGCTAGCAAAAATTTTTCATAGTGACTTTCAATTCTTGTACTCGATCTGATAACATCCACTCTAACATCTGATAAATTCATGAGTTATTCCAGTAACGATGCTCAAAATGGAATGATGAGGGATGTTGTCATCTGCATCACTTTTCAGCGGAACACATCGTGTTTGACATATTTCCGCTCACTTGCTGAACAGTCGCTCATCTGAGTCTGGGTCCTTCAGATACGGTAGCAGCTCTGCAGGCAAAAATGGAACTCTTTGCGAGACGTGCAGTTCTTTTACTTCAACATAATGCAGTACGATCAAGTACGAACAAGCACTAATACCACTCCTGCAGTCTAAATCAACCTGTCATTCGATTCATACATTCGTCAGCCTGTCAGTTAGGATCGATGACCACTTATTTTCTCAGGTTGCCCAGGCAGACGCATCAAACAGTGTCTCTAGCCTCGCCGATTCTGTACCAAGATTTCATATTAGCAGACAGTTACCTGAGTCCTGAGCAGGAATTTCGACACACTTGCCCCCTCCCCTCCAGGTTATCTTTGTTCTACTTCCATCGGTCAGTTAGTCGAACAAGTAATAGCTGTTTCATATTCGTCACTGGAAGCATTCACAAGAAATGCCCAGATCATCGCAACGCTGTGCTCTTGATCTGGACAAACAGTTGCTGTGCACCAAGGCTCTATCAGACATCTGCACTCTGGATCATGTACATCCGGTGAGCCTTATCGATTCATCTCGGATAATCCATTATAGCCTCTTGTAACCGGGATCAACGTTTTTCATTCAATGCCCATGACTCATGACCCTCAGTGAACCTATGGATAAAGGTAGACTTGAGCACAGGTAGTTTAATGCTCTAAATGAACTCTGCCGCCGTAGTCTCAACACTTCAGGCTAGTTTAGGTCGAACGCCATTGGCCGTTCCAATTGTCCATTCGATCTCTTCCCCCTATTTTCCATCCCCAGTAAACATGATTCTCGGATACGTGAACTTTTGCATCCGTTTCTTTGCTTCTATATTTGTCTGCAGAGCACAACGGGCAATAGGATGAGGTGGCATTAGCCTAAACGTATTTACACGCATATCCGTTAAGTCTAAGTCTGATGTGAACCTTTCCTAGGGGCGCTGGAGATCAATTTCACAGTACACCAAAAAGAGGTTATCTGCAAAGGGTAAACTTCTCTGCTTCACATCTCTCTGGCCAATTCACTTGCTACTACGTCCGACTACGCCTGACTACTCTAGCCATGTACAATCAAAGTAGGAGAGGGGACAGGACGCAGTCTCGGCGGAAAACAGTCCAGTATTGACAGGTCTTGACTTAGCGTCGTTTACACTGACGCAGCACCAGCTGTAAACATGGCTAGTGACTGGACGGCTCGTGCCAACTGACCATCAGTCCCGCACGTTTGCAGACATGAATACAGCTTGTCACGCGGGGTTCGACCAAGGAATCAGTCCCGGCCAGCAAAGCGCATGTCAACCGAATTAGTAAACTCCCGCGATTTCTCAACGAGCTGGTGTCAGGCGAAGATCTGGTAACATGTTTTTGTCTGACCTGAAGCAACACTTCGGTTCTCGTATGTCATATTGGAAAGTCAGCTGTTCCATTGCACCTCCTTCCTTTCCACTGAAGATCAATACGGCGGTGCCCCGATAATTACAGTACTCCCTGTGGTCGTCCTTCCTGAGCAGG